GGAGGCAGGTGAGTCATGATTTTGAGGAACAGGCATGGGCACAGAGCCAGGGGAGACCAAGAGCAAGCAGATAATGATGGGAGGTCTCATGGGAGTAGGCCAAAGACAGGAAGACAGAAAACAGGGAGGAAAACTCAGACATAGCCTTCTGCTGCAGTTTCTGGGGAAGACAACTTTATTCCCAGGAATGAAAAGGTTAATTCCCTTGACAACCTCTCCCCCTCCTTCCCAAAGTCTATCTCAAAAATAATCAAAGTATTTAATTAATATTGCACCAGTCCAAATAAGTACAATCATCTTCCAGGAGTATTTACATGTCAGGCTATAATTAGCAACCTCCTTGGCACCAGCCCATATGAGGTGACAGGTCACGGTTTCCATTACATACTGCATTTTTCCATATCATTGCTCAGTCATGAGTGACTATGAAATGAGTTAACCAGACTCAGCAAAGATGAAGGATTGATTGAGCCATGGTGGCAACCAGAAGAGGAGCAAGTGATTTTCTTGTCAGGAACTTGCTGGCAATCATCAACACCTCAGTTAATTGATAACCTCCTATACTATTTTTTTAAAGTATGCTTTTCAAGTAATCTGAGAAGTGAAATTTCAAGATTTCTTTATTTCCTAGTGATTATGAATAATTTCTACCCTGACTAAACTTCCTTCTCCTCCTTAGTTGGAGGGGAGTGCTTTGTCCATCCTACTGGAAGATGTCTCTTATTCCAACAGAGGCAGATGGGTGAAGGAGATACAGCACTTAAAACCCCCAAAATATTTTTGAATGCCTCTTAGTCCTAGACCTTGCTGCTAGTTGCTGAGACATGAGAGGGCATGTAAGGTACCACAATGAAGCTTCAGACCAGAAACGAACTTCTGCCTGTGGAGGAAAGATAGGAGGCTGAGTCCTGGAGCACTGGCTTCCTCTAATGCATTTGCTGAGATTTTCCTATTTTCACTATTATTTTGCTCAAAAAATGAACAAAACAGATACATGTATAAATCTACAAAAAATATCAATGAGCAAATTCTCACCTTTTCTCTTACAAAAATGTCAGCATCCTTATTTTGTCACTCGGACATGCATGTTGCCTATTTGCAAGAGCAGCTGGCTGGGCAAAGGCTCAGTGAAGTGAGGACCCACACCGAGGAGAGTCCTGCAGTCTCCTTGGGTGCTTTTTGACTTCCTTCCTGGATCTTCATCCCTACATAGTGTACAAAGGTTTTGCAGAAATGATGGCTTGTAGTTTGGTATGATGCTGACTTAGCTGGCTTTCTGCTCCAAAGATGCTTTTTCTGCATTGCTTCTCACCGACCCACTCAGGAGTCCCATGCTCCATTTTGGTTGGGAATGCAGGAGTATATTTGAGGGAGACGAGGGAAAAGATGGATGAAGGATTTAGGGTGCCTGCAGATTTCAAGCTGATGCCCTGCCTGGCTGCTGTGAGTCAGCAGGAACATTAATGCTGACCCCCAACTATGGGCTGTCTTACAGCTGCAGTGGGACAAAGATGCAAACAAGTAAAAGTGCCTCCTCAGGCAAGAAAAAGCCAGTGAAAAACTAGAAGGGTAAGGAAATATAAATCAGATGGTTTTGCAGTGAAGTGTCCTGCTAAACCTCTTGTCTGTGCCTCCCCTGATGTCTCTTGCCTGGCTCCTGCTGGTCCTCCGTGCTGGCGGCAGTAGACTGCCCTTCATGCCTCAGAGCGTGCAGGACTCAATTATGCACTAACATGTCTTCCTCAAAACTGGCACCATCTGGACCACCACCTGAATGTCATTTTTTCCTGCACAGCTTCTCACATGATTTGCCAGCTTGTGTTTGTGATTTTGAGGGGGGATGCATGTGAAAGGTGGTGAGATCTGGCACAGGATTTTTTGCATAAGCAGTGCTGCCGACAGAACTTTTATTTAGGATTTAGTTGATCTCTGCACCTCCTTAGAAACCTGTGCCATTTATTCAGACGAGCTCTCTAAATCTGTCTCAACCTCCAACTGAGGTAAGTTTATTCCTCTAAAAGAATAAGCACATTAATCAGTCTAAGGACAATCTCCGGAATAGTAAGCATCTTCTTGTTTGAAATGCTTCCACAGGGAAGAGAGACCATACCAAGATGGGACTTGGATGGCCGGTGGCTCAGGTAGCAAAGGCACGCAACCAGCATCCTACAGATCAGCTCTCACAACCTGCTCCAGGATGCTCAGGTGAAATTCATATTGCTCCATCACCTACAGTGCAGCTGAAGTCTGATTATAAAAGTGTCCATAATCACAATCTTCATTTTAGGAGTTTGATTTCTTCCAGGGCACAGACTCCTAAACCAAATTACGATTTCATAAATCTGACAAATCCAGGCTGTTGGCCTCTTACTGCAGAGTACATTCTTGTACCAATGCTGCCTCCTCTACCAGCCAGTTGCTATATGGATGGCACAGGAAAGTTATGCAAAGACATAACTCCATGTAACTTCATTCATAGAAGCTATACTCAGATGGTACCTAAACACACTGTCCAGCTCTACAGGATCCAATTACGATCTATTTCTGGGGTGAACTGTAACAAGTACATTGATCCACAGGGAGTGAAATTATTTGCATGTACCAGTAAAAAACATTTAATACTGAAACTTTTAAAACACTGATGTTTTAATAGCATTAAATATATTACTTCTTAAAGGGAAACCTGGAAACGAGAGTTCAGTGCCTGCAGCCTTCACAGAGGCCTTGAGGAAATGAGTTGCTTGCATTGCAAGCAATAAATTATACAATTTCTAGTTGAAACCTCTTTGAAATCATGCTTCCTGACAGTGTATGTCAACCAAATAAGGGTTTTAAATGTTTTAGCGTATGCAGACACACAGCCTTGTCAATACATGTGCCATCACTAGCAAAATAACCCAAGAGTCACACCTCTCTGCCTTTGTGGTACCAAAGGCTGTGCAGTTGGCATCACTGTGGAAGCCCTGCAAAGGCACAGTTGTTTTCTAGATACCTGTAAGCCCTGATCCTCAAGAACAAGGAGGTCTAGATATTGTCCCACCAGTAAAGTTCAAGGAGAACCGGGAACGATGGAGAGTGGCACTATCTCCAGGTGGAGACTAGTCACATGGACACTGGGTGACACTTTTACTGGTATGAGGAGGAGGATTTACCATTTTGGTTCTACCTAAGAGTCAATACATTAACAAGTATAAGTGGCCAGTGTTGGCTCCCATTCTAAGAAGAAGAAAGTGGGTGCCTTGCTGGGTGGGACTCAGGAAAGAGCCTATAGAGCCTATGTGCATACTCTGTAGAGATACTTCCATTTCATATTCTCACTGCAACATGCAATTGCAACAAGTCCTCCAATATGCTCAGGGTAAGGGAAGTTTCAGGAAGACGTTGCCTCCACTGCTAAGGAAATTCTACACCATTCTTTGTCCACCATTAACTCATAGGGGTTTGCTTACATACTTTTCAGTTTGGGGGAACTGGTCACTCTGGGTATACTGCTCCTTTCATTTTTCCAGTCAGTGAGGCTGCATCATTAGCTCTATTGTCTGCACCCTCCACATTTACAAATAAACCAGCTCCACCACGCAATAGACATGTAGTCCGGTGGCCTTCTGGTGGAGTCTTTGTAAAAGCTCTCCTAGTTTACAACAAGCATATCTATTTTAGAGACAAAGACAAAAACATATCTGTTCCTAATTACAGGGAGGAGAAAGGTGTATGCTCCTCCACAGGGGGAGCTCAGGTTCACAGCTGACTACAGGTAAGTGGGGTAGAGCTGTGGGTCTGTACTAACAAAAGGATTTGCCATGTCTTTCTGGGAACCAAGCAGGTCTAGGTCAGCCAGAAGAAGCTCTGCCAGGGAAGGGCCATGGGTCTCAGCCTTTTATTTGAAACTTAACTTGATTGCAATAAAAGCTCAGCTGCTGGTTCAACACAACCCTAATTAAAACTGTGTCTTATTCCCTTTAATGAATGGTGTAACAAATGGGAGTAGGCACTGATTGCATACCAAAAGTCAGTTAGTTTTGGCTGCTCCAGTAAAACATGAGCAGTACATACATGTAACTACAAAATAGCTCTTAGCCTGACACATGAATGGATTAGCGCGCATACCTGGAGTTAACTCCAAAGGAACTTAAGGAAAAACATGCTTTTGTTCAAGATGCTGAGAGAAGAGGTCCTTTTCCTTCTTAGATGCCTGTCCTAAGTTTGAGTAGAGAATGGATGGAGGGATGGATAGATGGATGGATGCAATAAGACAAGAGAAATTATTGAAATTCCTGACACATTGCTTGTTTTTAACAGATGGAATGCTTTTTGGTTTTCTTTTGTTTGCTTGTTTGACTTGGTTTGGTTTTTTTTGTTTTTGTTTGTTTGTTTGTGGGGTTTTTTTTTGGTTTGGTTTTTTGGGGGGAGTTTTTGGTTTGTTTTTTTTTCTTTGTAAGAAATGAAATACCTCTTCCATGAAGTTGAGGGTGCCAACAATTGCACTTTTCCCCCTAAAAACTGAGTGTTGGAGTGATGCCAACGCTCAGAGAAATAAAGTGCTAGCCACTGGCAAGAAAATGCAGTTTGATTTATTCTATACTTTTAAAGTGAATGGTAGGACTGTATATTAAATCCAGCAGCCTTTTAATTATGGATTGGCTATTTCTAGTAGCCCTAAGATACAATTAGCTGTCCAAATGAAAAAACAGCTGGGTGGCAAGGCTGAAGTACTGGCTTGCTGATTTTGCCCAAACAAGGAGATTCTAACAACTTTCATTGAAGTTTTAGCTGCATAAATACTGTAGAAACCTACCCTACAGCTGAATACAACCCCCTATATCACCTATATCGAGTGCACAGTGAATGACACTGACTACAGTTTCTCAGCAAATACATAAACAATGATTTAGGTTTGACTGTGTTCACCCGCCTTTTCTTTCCAGAAATATTTTGAGTTAGAACTTGACTTAGAAAAATGTTTACGGAAGGTAGAATTAAAACAAGTATCAGAGAAAGGTTGAGCAAACCCCACTGTAACAGTTTTATCCATATTTTTGGGTGGCAGAGACAATACCAGGTGACCTGCATGTCCAAGAAAAACTAAACAAAGTTCCTTGCACTTCAACTATCCAATGTCAGTAGCAAACTCTGCGAATGAGGCACAGATCAACAATTTCCCCAGGAACAACTCTCTGGCAAGTAAATATTTGGTTAGTATATTTCAAATAGTGAATAAATCTTAGAGATACTGCAATCTACTTGCAGGCAATTTGTTAACACCAGAAGAAATGGAATTTGTCAAAAACATCTTTGCCCAGGAATGACAGGCTCATAGGCTAATAGAAATTAATTTTCCATCTCTAATATTGGGCACTACTTCTGCCTGGTATCACAGTCCTTGACAGTTTCTTGGCATGTGACGTTGAAAACAGCCAGTTGCAATTTGTGTTTGGTTTTAAATTTATAATTTAGCCGAGGGTGTAGAAAAATGCTTCCTGTTGAGAGCAAATTCACCCCTCTGTTGGGCCCAAACAGACTCTGCACTGTGCTTTGAAGTTCCCTGAAAACTGTGGAATTGGTGCATGGTCCCATGTGGCCCGGGAAATCAGCTGGTATGAGAACTCTCAGGATATGACTGGGGCAGGGACAGGTTGCCTTCAGCACATTTGAGGTTAACACCTTGTGCTCTTGTGCTTGCCTTCATTTGCAAGTCTCCCATCATCACTGTTGAGTAGCACTAATGAGCCTAGTATGGATGAGGTATCCCCCTCTGTGACAATAATAAATTGCATCCCTGATGGAAGTGGTATCTTAAGGAAATGATCCTGTATTCCACGCTCTTATCCAAGCATGCTGGAGAGGCAGGAGGTGATGGTCAAGATTTATATGCACAGGAGCTCAGCAGCCTCAAGGGAGCTGAGGTGGTGAAAGGGCAACAGGCCAGGAAGATCAAAGGACTTTCTGAGTCACCAGCTCATCAGCTGGGTCCTTGCTTCTAAGGATGGGGACAGAGAAAGCAGGAAGGGCTCTTGCTGGGACCTCCTTCTCAACCTCCTCTCCCATGGGGATCTTCCATCAGCTGGAGTGCCTTCTGCCCTGCTGAGATGAAGCCCGTTTGTACCAAGTCAAACTCTGCCCCCTTTGCTGCACATATTGCCAGCACAGATCCCACTGCAGTGGGTGCTCCTGTGGTCCTTCAGGAGAATGAGTAAATTGGATCATTTCAAGTGCACTCCCACACAACTGCTCTGCTGGAATGAGTCACCAGAAGCAGGCTGGTAATATGTCTCATGCCTGGCTGCAGTGCTAGTACAGCACTGATGAGAGCACACAGTATGTGCATATGAGAGCTCCTGCAGGGCATGCTATAGGAAAAACCACATTTGTCTTATTTTATGGGAACCCTATGCATGGAAAGCCCTACTTGATTTTGGAAATCTCTGGTTTTGTGTGTGTCTATGTATTGACCAAGCATGATAGTCAATACTTTATACAACAGTGTTGTATAAAGCTTTTTCTTAACATGACTGCAGGATGGTAGTATTACATGCAAACAAAAAATCTGTGTGGATATTACACAAGCCCTTTCTGTTGAAAAATGATTCCAGGAGTGATGTAGGTGGTTTTAACAGGTGTTTTATTGGAACTGTTTTTAAAAAGACCTTCACTTAATGCAGCCAGGTGCATTATTTTCCATGAAGACAAATGTGCAGGGTTTTGAGATGGTCATTCATGTCAGTAACAGAATTATTTTCAGATTCTACAGATTTTACAGTTTTAGAGCCTTTGGAGCTCTTTTTGGACTGGGAACAACTGCTGATTCCTCTTGTAGTGTTGGGCATGACCCCTTCCTGATGGGAGTCAGCTCCCCTTTTCAGCTACTGTGACAGAACTGAAAATGTGCCCAACAGGAAAGCTAGAATGGGTTTGGCATTGACTCTGTCTCCCCTTGGCACTCTTGCTAGGGTAAATTTGCAACTGAAATTCCAAATTTGGCAAGAAAAGGAGGAACCGTTTTCCTGGCAGCCCTCCATGGGTACTCAGGAGAGTGGATGGGGGGTGGCAGCCACAGAACAGATGGCAGTGTGGGATGAAGATAGGTAAAGTGGTCAAAGATGTGCAATAAATAGATTTAACAAATATGTTACACCACAACATGTGTGACACATGCATGTAATTTTCCACGAAGAGCACAATGCCAGGGTGACACCTCACTTACGCAAATGACTGGGTAATTGTGCCGTATGGACAAGTACAGCCCTTCTGTCTTCACATTATTATGTTTTTCCTGAGTGATCTTTTAAAGAAAGAGAAAGGCAGCAAAATCAATAGCAGTCTTTGAGAAACTGGCATATGAAAAAAGCCTCAGCTGTTATAGTCTGAGGTGGGGATAAGGCTGAAAAGAGTCATGATAGTCCACAAATATCTACACTTTTCATGATGGGGAATGGATGTTGATATAAAGTGCAATAAACTCAAGACAATGGAAAAAAATACATTAAGGGAAATACTCAGGGGAAAAAAAAATCTACTGTGCTGAACACCTTTGCTTTTTGTGGCCTACAGATGGCTCTCAGTGTTTTTAAACCTACTCAGATATGACTTTTTATGTTGTATATCAGACACATTTTTTTCCTTGCAGTAAGAATATTTCAAGTATGGAAGAATGTGTTCCTGAGGGCATCTGCTAAGGTCTCATCCATGGAGGCTTCAGAGGCGTGCTAGATAAAGTAACCTCAGTGAATATTCAGGAAGGAAAATCCTGCTGATTACAGGGAGCAATGCAAGATGAGCTGCCAGGTCTTTTATTATCTATGACTCCATGACTATTGGTAGTGAAGGGAGTTCTTGCATAAAAGCCTTTACTGGCTTTATTTATGCCACGGCTGCTTCCAGGAAGGGAGAATCCATCATGTCAGAGATGAATGCAAACACAGAGCTTTCTCTCTTGCCCTCTCTCTCCATTTGGACTGTCCTTTCATCTGACATAGAGACTGTGGTGTTCTGTGTATACTCTGCAACTTGATTTGCTTAAGACTCCCCAGAAACAAAGAGACACTGAGGGCAGGATCACCTTAATACAGTCACTTGACTGTTTTCTGGGAACTGCTTGTTTGGTCAAAAGAGAAAGTCAGGGAGGGAAGGCCAAGTCCCACAAGAGTGGGTTGCAGCAATGCCCTGACAGTCAGACAGGGAGCCAAGGGAAAGATGCTGATGTGGGTCCCTCCACCTGCAGCCAGGGCACATAATTCCTGTAACCCATTAGAGACCTCACAGCCCTGTCAGATGAGAAGAAAGCTCACACCGAAACCACTGTTAGAGTGATGCAGAATTGCCACCATATTCATTAAGTGAATAACACACCAGGTGAGAAAAACTCACACAACCAATTTAATCTCCTATTTGATGCAGGTAGCTCTAGCACTGCTCTTGCCATTCCTTCCACATTTAGAAGCCTGCAGTTTGCTGTGCTGCTTTTCATAAAGCTCTGACAAATGTCTAATTAAAGGATGGCAGAAGGTAACTAAGCTGTACCCAGCTCTGGCTGTGAAGGCTGTTTTGCAGAGGGGAAGGCAGGGTGCATCAGAGGAATTCAGCACTATGGCAGAGTGTCTCCATGTCCAGAGGCAAGTTGTCAGAGGAGGACAGACATTTTTGGGTAAGGTACCTACCTACCCAAAATGCATGACATGCAGAAGCTCAGGATTTTGGTTACAAGACAGGGCTTGCAGTTTGCAGGTGGCCCACAGCAGATGATCCATCACCCTAAGCACAGAAGGATGTTCTTTTTCCTGTGTGTTGGACGTGTGTGTGTACGAACAGGGCTGGCTGAGGGTCCTTGCAAGATAAACTTTCTTTAGATTATAGAAAGCTGTAATTAGACCACGCCCCAAATCTGTCTGTGCCCCAGAATGGAGGATCTAACATATGGTATCAGCCATCAACTGAGGGAAGGATTTGAGGCTTTTCCTGCTACCGTCTGTATAAACAAATATGCAGCTGCACTGACAGACACACATGAAGAAAATCATGTGTCAGAGATTCCAATCTCCTGGAGGTGACAGCACGGCCAAACAGTCCTGAACACTGTGTTCAGGTAAATGCTACAAACTTGCTTTTGCCAAGGTGCTGCCACTGCCTGAGCTCAGGATGTGCCAGTTCTGCTCACGGCCAAATTGCACTTGTGGGGTTGAGATTCAAAGAGAGGTGAGCCCAAACCACATACGCATCTCCTACCCCCTGCTTTTGTAATTTCAGAGCAGATATAGAGCTCAGTAGCTTTGTACGTGGCAGCCCTCAAGTATTTCTTTTAGTGAAGAGACAGCCAGCTTACATAGGGAAATGTTAGTTTGACAATCCCTTTATAGGTTGCACAGACCAGCCTCTCCAAGAGGGGCTCAGGGAAAATAAGAGTTATGGAAAGGCAGCTGAGAACCACAGATGCTGAAGTGAGGGGATGTGGGGAAGATCCAGTGTAATGGCAAAGTGGTGTCCTCGGAGCATGATGCGTGCAGGACCACTGATGCTCAGATGAGCAGAGCTGCAGGATGGCTTGAAGGTAAATAAGCATAGCAAATAAGCCTGTCCTGCAGGACAAGGGACTGCACATTGCAACTCACTCGGTCTGATTCCCAAGAGGGACTCCCACCTGCACTAAGCAGGGGGTCTAATTGAGGAAGGTATTGATTTCCCTGGCCCGTACTGGTCTCTTCGTGCAAAACCAGCGAACATTACAAGTCCTGCAGAGACAAATGGCACACAGAAAACAGATGCTCTGAAGGCTATAAGCCCAGCGACCTCGAGTTCCCGCAGCTGGGCACAGCACGGGGGTCACAGCCAGGTCTGGGAATCGGCACAGTCCTCGAGCAGGGTCGCTGGCAGTCACACCTCGTGGCTCTGCAGGCGTGCATGGGCTGACCTGGATGCCGAGGAGAGCTTGGGTTGCAAATAACTCTCGGCTCTGGGACCTTCCGAACCCGACACCCACAGGTCTTTGTCTCTGAAGCTGCAAACACACCTCGCTGATGGGCGGCTTTCCGGTTTGTTTGGGAGGAGTAGAGCCGTTCCTAGGGTGCTGGTGCCAGAGGAAGGGATGAGCGTCACCGAGGAGTGCATGGCAGCCATCAGCGTGGACGTGGGCTGCGGGGAACCAGGTGCATTCTGCACCTCCCGGCATGTGACAAAGCACCAAGCTCGGTGCGCAGCCTGT